TTAAAATTATATAGTTAATGCAAAAAATGTACTTCGCTCACATTCACATCTGATACGAGAAGAAAGGAAAGTTTTTTAGGTTCACACGAACCTCGCAATTAAAGCTTTTCCTTCTCTTTCGATGTAAGTGACACAATTAGATTTATCGATCTCCAATTTTACGTATTGCTAACTTTACTTGTCAACAACTTGCAGTCTGATCTTCCTCGCCTAACGACCATCCTTAATCATCATAACCCGAACATATAATGTGTACACACTAATTTCTTCTAATGTTCATTCAATGCGCGCACGTTCTACAAAAAAAAGATATCTTTCCTAATCCTCAGAAATGAGTTTTTCCTACATTCGAGACTCGAAAAAAAAAAAACAAAAAAAAAAAATTACGAATTTGTTTGTTTTCAATGCATATCAAACTAAGTTTATATACACAATTTTCAAAGCATTTGCATGATACTATCTATATTCACCCCATTTCTAATTCACAATATCTAAAGTAAATTTGAATTTACAACTAAATCATCTATTTTTCTTTTTAAGCGAGATTTGCTTTAGATATAACTATTATTTTTTTTTTATCGGTGCATATAGTATAGTTCTGTTGTATATATTTTGCATTTGTACAATTAATTTTTTTTTAGTGGCAAACAGATTCGGAATTTATAAATTCCTGTTTCTCCTGTATAAAACAATTAGCCAAATAAAAAAAGACGTTTCCAGTGTTCATTAAGATATCGGCATGCGTTTAATTCAAATGTGAGCTTTGATAAATGCATGAATTATGTAAGGAAAAAAAAAAAAGGGAAATCTAGATATATCGGACGATTTCCACAACCTTGAAATAAAGTTATGCATACGCCTCAAAAGAAAGAATCTACGTGAATGAATATATATGGTAACAAGTAATTGGACAATATTTTCTTCTGCACGTTTATAATCCTCACTCATCTAAACCTACCGAGTCTTAAATCGCCATACCATATGTGGTGAACCTAAATTTGAATGCGAATGTTGAAAAGAGAAAGGAAATTTTCACGCGTACAGTAGTCGTACAGTCGTTTATATGGTTTATCCTTATACCTTTTCCACGTCATCATTCTCTTTGACTACTGCTTGATTTATGGAACATCCCATCCTCTCACTATACCCGATTCGCTTATTCTGTCTCTCCTTTCTCAAATCTTTTGCAACTCTTTTTTGTCCCCCGACACTGTTGACCTTGATATAGGGTCCCTTCTTGTTCATTGCGTTTTCTAGATAAACAAATTTTTGATTCAATATGTTTTCGATGACTTTCTTTGAACCGTCTTCATTTTCGTCCGCCGATTTAGATCTTGAGATAGTAAAACAGATTTCGCGTCGACCGGTTTGTATGAGATGAATCCATACAGTGAATACGGGTCTCCAATAAGGATGCTGCAAGAAATCCCAGAAAGGCTCTTTTACCGGATACCAATTGTGCGATGAACTTTGACGTGCCAAAATTTTCACGATGCTATACGGACGAGAATCTCTGATGACCCTGTTGAATAGTTGCAAAAAAGTCTCGGAAGAATCAACAATCTTTACAGGATTAGGTCCAATCACTAGAATTCCTTCAAGCACCACACGGAGGACTATCGATGTGTCTTTCATAATTCTATTTCTTTCCTTCATTTTTTTGATTTTTTTTTTTTTTTTTTTCATTTTTGCGAAATATCTTTCTTTATATGAAGAGCATGAGAATGGCCAAGATATCATGTTAACGTTTGCTCTCGTGACTGGTTGTTAAGTAAACGTTGCCATATTAGGAACTGACATTATTATGCGTGTAGATCTATTCAAATATTTGATATATCATTTTCTTTATAGTTTATTATATTGATTTAAAGTTGGCATTGTTTAAATCGTCTATTGTGATTAGTTTTACTAAACAGACTACGATATCATTCCTATTTTTCCGAACCCGTGATCAGTCGTCGATGCAAAGGTTTTGTGTGATAATCGATCCTAAAAGATCACGAGCTGACAAATCAGCTGCATCAATGTTCGGATGATATCAAGGGGATGCGTTCTTAGATAATTTCTCAGATAACTTAAAGATTTGTATCGACCCCATATACCAAATTACAAACGCAAAACCATTATTGAAATAAATTGGTTGTCAGAGAAGATCATGATCTTTGTTAAACCCGTGTGCTTAAGAAAATCCGATTTGGATTTTTAAAAGTTGAAAGAATGGAGGAAAAGAAACATTCACTTACAGTATGTGATGCTGCTATGAAAAACAAAACCAAAACGTATCTATACAGTATTATAGAATTTAATTCAACAATTAATAAATAGTATAAAAAATATGACATAGTTGATACAGTATATATGTTATAAAAAAAAGAATAAATATACATTCAATTTATTTAAATAAATTCAAGATTAAAAAATTCCCAAAATATAAATTTGAAATAAAAAGAATTGTATAAAGCAATGTAAAAATTATCTTTGGATCGCAATCAATGGATTAAGATTATTTGATAGAAACATGAAATTCCATTTAGTAATGTCACAAAACAAGTTAAAATTAATTTAAAAAATCTCATAAAATTATATATAGGGAATTATTTTTTACCGAGTTTTTTTTGTTTGACTTTTTTGCTTTGAATTTTATTTTACTAAAAAGTTTAAAAAATTGATATTTCAATAACAAAATATTATCATTGTTTTTTTTAATTTTATTATTATACTTATTTAATTATTTATTTTAATGTTAATTCAAAGTTTAAAAATAACCATATCAAAAATTTTATTTTTAATAAAATTATGTTTTTAAAAAATTTTTTTGGATATATTTACTTGCAAAAATTAATTTTTTAAAATTTTGTTTATCTTAATTTTAAAGTTTTAAATTAAATCAAATTTGATAAAAAATAATTAATCAGATTTAAATTATGACACATAATAAATATATATACAAAATAAATAAATAAACAAATAATATATTTTATAAATATAGATAAAACATGAATTATTTAATTGTTATTATCTTAATTTTAAAATTCTTAAAAATAATTATAATTTAATTTAATAATAACTATACTATATTTTTAATAGTATTAAAAATACAGTAATTAATAAAAGATTTAAATTATATTTTAATTGATAAAAAACAGAAACAACAATATTTATTTAAAAAAATTTTATAAAAAAAATTAACAATAAAAATTAATATTTCTTTAATTAAAAATTCTTTAATTAAAAATTTCAAAAATTACTTTTTTGAAAATAATTTTAATAACTTTTAAATATTTTTTCAATAAAATTAATTGATTTAATTAATTACAAGTACTAAAAAAATAAATATATTAGTAATTATAAAAAATATTAAATTTTATTCAAACCAAAAAAAATACAATCTAAATTTATATATACAGTAACTATTAAAGTAATCTATAGATGTTAATTTTATTTGAAAAAATGGATTTTAATTTATTTAATAAATAAGTAATATAAATTATATCTAAAAACTTTTACTTTTAATAATTAATTAATTTTAAAAAATTTATATTTTATATTTGTGATATTTTTTTAATAAAATTGAATAAAAAAATAACTTTAATTTTATTATAAATTAATAATAATAATAATAATAATTTTAAATTAATTATGAATAAATAATTAAAATTAATCTAAAAAAAATAATTAATAGAAATATTAATATATAATAATTATAGAAGGTTTTTAATTAAAATATTATATATATGTAAATTATATTTGATTTGATTTTATAGTTTCTAAATTTAATAATTAATATTAATAAAAACTTTCAAAAATATTTACTAAAAAATTTAAAATTTGTATTTTCAATAAATTTTTAATTTCTAAATTTGATAGTTTATATTAATCAAAAAATAATTTTGGAATATTTATTAATATTTAATTCTAAATTTTTTTATTTATTACTATATAATTAAAAATATAATATAATATTTTAATTATATAATATTAATGTTTTTTTGATTTTTCAATTATTTTTTATTCTATACTATCTATATATATATGGTTTATTATATTATTATCTTTTTTATTTTTTTTTTTAATCCCGCAATCAGGTTGGTGTCATTTATTTATTTAATCATAAAGAACTATTACAAGTTGAGAACCTATGTAAAGTATAAATTTCCTCGACCCAACTCACC